AATTAGCCTGGCGAAGAACCCAACCATATGCAGTTGTCAGTACCGCAGCTGCGGGTTTCATCTTCAATGGAACTCCCCATAGGACTACGGAACGTGTGAGGGGTGTGCCGAGATGGGTGCCACTGGGGCATTCGGCGAAGCTCCCTATGGGGACATGAAACACGCGCGGGGCGTGCCGACATGGGTGGCGGAAACGCATGTGCGGGCCGCAATTGGGGCCTCCAGTGGAACTCCCTATGGGTCCCCGAAACATGATGCTGCTGCGGGGGGGGTGGGGCGGGGATGGGTGGCGGAGACGCATGTAAGCGCCGCTACTGGGGCCTTCGGTGGAGCTCCCTATGGGGCCACGAAGCGCGTGAGGGGTGTACTGGGATGTGTGGCGGGGAGTGAGCGCCGCCACTGGGGCCTTCGTGGGGCCACGAAACGTGTGAGGGGTGTGCCGAATTAGGTGCGGGTGGTGACGCATGCGGGCGGTGCCACTGGGGCCTTCGGTGGAGCTCTCTATGGGGCCACGAAACCTGTTGTTGTGAGTGGCGTGCCGGGATGGGTGGCGGGGACGCATGTGAGCGCGGCCGCTGGGGCCTTCGGTGGAGCTCCCTATGGGGCCACGAAACGTGTGAGGGGTGTGCCGAATTGGGTGGGTGTGGGTGACGCATGTGAGCGCCGCCACTGGGGCCTCCGGTGGATGATGGGGCCACGAACCTGTCAGGGATGTGCCGAAATGGGTATGCGGGACGCATGCGCATGTGAGCGCCGCCACTGGGGCCTTCGGTGGAGCTCCCTATGGGGCCACGAAACGTGTGAGGGGTGTGCCGAATTGGGTGTGCGTGACGCATGCGGGCGGCAGCACTGGTGCCTTCGGTGGAGCTCCCTATGGGGCCACGAAACGCGTGAGGGGTGTGCCGAATTGGGTGTGCGGGACGCATGCGGGCGGCAGCACTGGGGCCTTCTGTGGGGCTCCCTATGGGGCCACGAAACGTGTGAGGGGTGTGCCGAATTGGGCGTGCGGGACGCATGCGGGCGGCAGCACTGGGGCCTTCGGTGTGGCTCCCTATGGGGCCACGAAACGTGTGAGGGGTGTGCCGAATTGGGTGTGCGGGACGCATGCGGGCGGCAGCACTGGGGCCTTCGGCGGGGCTCCCTATGGGGCCACGAAACGTGTGAGGGGTGTGCCGAATTGGGTGTGCGGGACGCATGCGGGCGGCAGCACTGGGGCCTTCGGTGGGGTTCCCTATGGGGCCACGAAACGTGTGAGGGGTGTGCCGACTTGGGTGTGCGGGACGCATGCGGGCGGCAGCACTGGGGCCTTCGGTGGGGCTCCCTATGGGGCCACGAAACGTGTGAGGGGTGTGCCGAATTGGGTGTGCGTGACGCATGCGGGCGGCAGCACTGGGTCCTTCGGTGGGGCTCCCTATGGGGCCACGAAACGTGTGAGGGGTGTGCCGAATTGCGTGTGCGGGACGCATGCGGGCGGCAGCACTGGGGCCTTCGGTGGGGCTCCCTATGGGGCCACGAAACGTGTGAGGGGTGTGCCGAATTGGGCGTGCGGGACGCATGCGGACGCAGCCACTGGGGCCTTCGGTGGAGCTCCTTATGGGGCCACGAAACGTGTGAGGGGTGTGCAGAATTGGGTGTGCGGGGCGCATGCGGGCGGCAGCACTGGGGCCCTTCGTGGGGCCTCCCTATTGGGGCCACGAACGTGTGAGGGGTGTGCCGAATTGGTGTGCGGGACGCATGCGGGCGGCAGCACTGTGGGCCTTCGGTGAGTTTCCCTAATGGGCCTACAACGTGTGAGGGGTGTGCCGAATTGGTGTGCGGGACGCATGCGGGCGGCAGCACTGGGGCCTTCGGTGGGGCTCCCTATGGGGCCACGAAACGTGTGAGGGGTGTGCCGAATTGGGTGTGCGGGACGCGGCAGCAGTGGGGCCTTCGGTGGAGCTCCCTGTGGGGCCACGAAACGTGTGAGGGGTGTGCCGAAATGGGTGTGCGGGACGCATGCGGACGGCAGCCATGGGGCCTTCGGTGGAGCTCCCTATGGGGCCACGAAACGTGTGAGGGGTGTGCCGAAATGGGTGTGCGGGACGCTTGCGGACGGCAGCACTGGGGCCTTCGGTGGAGCTCCCTGTGGGGCCACGAAACGTGTGAGGGGTGTGCCGAAATGGGTGTGGCAGGAGGAGGGGGGGGAGGAGGAGAGGAGGAGACGCGGGCCACCGTCTCTTCAAAACGAGGACCCAACACCACAGGATGGTTGGGAAAAAGTACCCAAACGAACACCCCAAAAAGGTCAAACAATGCTCAAAAAATAGTCCCCAGACTCTTCTTGGAATTTTTTTGATTGGTTTGGAAGTATTTTCTACTTGTCGTCGGAAGTCCCCCTGTATGGGGGACAGGCCCGACTTCGTCTCAGTGGTGCCTTCGGTGCCTCCCTGGGGCGCGCAGGCCCGCTTCGGGAGGCAGTTCCAGAAGCTGGCCGCGCGCGCCGCCCAGACCGCGCCCCGTGCGCCCGCGCGGGGCGAGGCGGCCCCGGTGCTCCACGAGGGGGGGGGGCTCCGGCAGGCCCAAGGGAGGGCCCAGCCCGGGTGCCCGGTCTTCTGCGTTTTCTGTGGTTTTCGGGCTCTGCGACAACGGTTTCGGGCTCCTCCTCCTCCTCCTCCTCTCCTCCTCCTCCTCCTCCTCCTCCTCCTCCTCCTCCTCCTCCTCCTCCTCCTCCTCCTCTCTGCGGTTTTCGAGCTCTTCGGGTGGCTCGACAACATCGAGACAACGGTTTTCTGCGGTTTTCGGGCTCTCTGGGCCCTCGCCGGGCCTCGGGGCCGTGAGAAAACGACTCGGGACGAAACACCGGTCCCGGGGAACTGGTCGAGAGGTCGGGGGCCCGTGTCTCGAAACCATCGAGACGCCGGATGTCTGGGTCCCGCTCCAGGAGGGCCCAGCAGGCTGCAGGATGCTCCAGGAGGGCCCAGCACGCCCCGAGAGGTCCCAGGAGAGCGGAGGAGACCGCGGCAGGGCCCCCGAAGGAGGCCGGGGCCAGCCTTGGGACGGGTGGCCCGGGAGGCATGTGAGGGCCCATGATGAACCCGACCAGTGCTCCACCGCGTGCCACGTGTTGGAGATTCCTCGTCGTGCTCGCCCTCCAGCCCCGCTCTCCCGGCTTCTTCTTCCCCCTCCCTTGCCTGCTACCCTGGCCTCTCGCCCTGCTCCCGCGTGCTCCTGCCTCCTTCGCCTCCGTCGGATCCATCGCTCCTCTTCGTTCCCCCATTCGTTCGCCTCCCGGGCCGCTTCCCCGCTGCTTTTTTTTTTGTTTTTGTTATCTCTCTCTCTCTCTCTCTCTCTCTCTCTTCTCTCTCCTGTCCTACTTCTCTTTGTAATTATATATGTGTACACAAATACGTAGCACCCCGCAATTGCGGATAAGAGTGAGGGGGCGGGCGCGGGCGACGCGGGCGTTGTCAAGCCGGCGGACCTCGTGGCCCCCACCTTCCCTGTCGATGGCGCTCTCCTTTTCCCCTCCTCCTCCTCCTCCTCCTCCTCCGCCTCCTCCTCCTCCTCCTCCTCCTCCTCCTCCTCCTCCTCCTCCTCCTCCTCTTACTCGTCCTCGTCCTCGTCCTCATCGTCATCGTCGTCCTCCTCCTCCACCTCGTCCTCCTCCTCCTCCTCCTCCGCTTCTTCCTCGTCCTCCCTCTGCCCCCCTCGTCCTTCCATCATCGTCCTCCCATTGTCGTCATGTTCCTCCTCGTCGTCCTCCTCTTCCCCCCCTCCCGATCCTCCCCCCTCCTCCTTTTCGTCGTCGTCGTCGTAGACGTCGTCGTCGTCGTCTCCTTCCTCCTCTTCCTCCTCCTCCTCCCCCTCCTCCTCCTCCTCCTCCTCTTCCTCCTCCTCCTCCTGCAAAAGCAGCCCGCCGCAGGCGCCGAAAAATTTGGTTTGTACACTGAACGTGGTTTGGGTCGCGGGTGGGCCGCGGGTTCTCCACCGGGAACGAATGCAAAAGATGCCCGCCGCAGGCGCCGAAAAATGTGGTTTGTACCCTGAACGTGGTTTGGGTCGCGGGTTGGTCGCGAGTTGGGTCCGGGTGGGTCGCGGGCTCTCAACCTGGAAGGAATGCAAAAAAAGCCCGCCGCAGGCGCCGAAAATTGTGGTTTGTACCTTGAACGTGGTTTGGGTCGAAGGTGGGTCGCGGGTGGGTCGCGGGGTGGGTCGCGGGTGGGTCGCGGGGGGGTCGCGGGTGGGTCGCGGGTGTGGGTCGCGGGTGGGTCGCGGGGTGGGTCGCGGGTGGGTCGTGGGTGTGGTCGGGGTGGTTGCGGGCAGTGGGTCAGCGAGCGTTCGCGCGGGGTTGGTCGCGGGTGGGTCGCGGGGGGGTCGCGGGTGGGTCGCGGGGTGGGTCGCGGGGTGGGTCGCGGGGTGGGTCGCGGGGTGGGTCGCGGGGTGGGTCGCGGGTGGGTCGCGGGTGGGTCGCGGGTGGGTCGCGGGTGGGTCGCGGGATTGGGTTCGCGGAGGTGGTTTGGAGTTCGCGGAGTGGGTTCGGGTGTGGGGCGCGGGTGGGCTCGCGGGTGGGGTCGCGGGAGGGTCGTGGGGTGTACCGCGGTTGTGTCGCGGGGCGGGTTGCGGGTGGGACGACGGAACAACGACAACAACAACATGTGGGGGGGCCGGTTCAAGCTCTACCAAATTTCCAAACGACTCTTCGCCACCACCCACACCCAGCTTCCCGCCCTATGACGTTCGGACACTTCACTTCGTGGCCTGCGGACGACCTTGGCTACTACACTGGCGCATGGGTACAGTGACTTGTTGTGGTAACATTTTGTGGAAGCTAGCTTAGTATACGACTTTTCCCCCTGTTCCAACACTGGACACCTGTACCGTTTTCCGACGTGTTTCCGTTTCTGTACCACACAAGCGAAGACACTTATTTTGAGTGGTACCACGTGCGTGGCGCCAGCATACCACAGGACTTGTTTCCGTTGTTGCGAGACGATACATGCTCATTCTTGTTCCGTGGTTGTCGTTCCGGCCTCAATGTGCAATACTGGCTCATTCGTCTACGAAATACACGTGACTAGCTCTCTCTGGTTGGAGGTCATGATGGTTGTGGTTGTCCCGATGGTTGTCGCGATGATTGTCCCGATGATTGTCCCGATTGTTGTTGCGATGGTTCTCCCGATGGTTGTCCCGATGGTTGTCCCGGTCGTTGTCCCGATGGTTGTCCCGATGGTTGTCCCGATGGTTGTCCTGATGGTTGTGGTTGTCCCGATCGTTGTCCCGATGGTTGTCCCCATGGTTGTCCCGATGGTTGTTCCGATGGTGGTCCCGATGGTTGTCCCGATGGTTGTCAGCGATGCCGGATCCCCGCGCCCCCCGCGGCCTCGTCGGCGAAGCTCTCCCGATACTGATTGAGTCGAAGACGCTGGCCTATACATTCCTCCACAGCTTGGGCAGTATTGAATGCTCCCTTGGCGCCCCACTCAGTGCTGAGCCACTTCTGGCATACCCTGGCGTCAGCAGATACAGATAAATGTCCCAGGAGCCACTGCTTCAGGACGGCCCCGTCAGTAGTCCCCTCGGGCATGTCTGTGCGAATACGTTCTCCATACCAGGTCTCCAAATGGCCAGCGTTCTGCACTATGACAAGCGTCTCTTTGGAAGAATACTGCAGTAGCCACGCCGTTGCGACCGGATTTGACACATACAGTGGTGGATCCAACCGTCGGAGCGCCCCACATAATTTGAAAGCTGTATTATACTCGATGCCCAGATGGCGGATGGCAGAGCCGTGCTGCTCCTCCAGCTCCTTGGCGCTAGAAATACTGACCTTGCCAGGCACAACCCGATACTTGACCCACCAAACCTTGCACGCCTGGTGACTGACCTGGATACCCTTTGCAACGAGCGCCTGATGCAAATAAAACGGGCTGCCGCAGTCGGCCAAGGGAGGCCGCGACAGCTCTGGGCCATACTGCTCGTCAAGGGCTTTCGCCGACAAAGCCATGACCCATCCAAGAACACAGGCGATACCTTGATCCGAGATGGCTACGGATGTGACAGTGATCAGTGATTTTGTTCGATGACGTGGTGACACACTGACTTGTTGTGGTACCATGCCGACAACGACGACGCGACGACGCGCGCATGTGTCCCGCATGATATTTTTTGCAAGGGATTGTGGCCCCTGGCAGGCGCGCGAACGCCGTTGAAAGAGCTTGCGAAAACAGCTCGCGCGAGCTCTATAACATAAATGTTGAAAAACCATTGGTTTTTAAGGATTCGGACAGCGCGCGCGGGTAGAAATTTTGAAAATTCGTACAAATGTTTTTCGAGAACCGACGGTGCGATTCGTATGATTTTATGTTGCGCGGTGCTAAAATTCCTAAGAAACCCAATGATTTTTGAAGATTTCGGCGTGCGCGCGCGAAGAAAAAACGAATGTGTCCCACATGGTATTATTTGACAGGGATGATGGCCCTGGCAGGCGCGCAACCTTTGTTGCAGAAGTTCGAAGCACGTGAAAAAGTTGCTCGCAAGAGTCCGTTTGACAGAAATGTTGAAAAAGTACTGGGTTTCCGAAGAAATCCGCAAGAGCGCGCGGGGTGAATTTTTGAAACCCTTTTTTTGAAAAAAAACCATTTGGTTTTTCATGTTTTTAGGTGAAAATCGCTACGAAGACTAAGGTTTTGGAAGGATTTCGTCTTGCGCGCGCGAATGTGCACTTCGTGTCATTTTTTGCAAGGGATTCTTGAAGTTTGGTCATGTTAGAACAAGAAATGTCCACTTTGCCTTTTTTTTTTTTTGCAAGGGAAAACCGATCGTAACAACACAACCGGATCTGGTATACCCCGTTTTGCCTGACACTTCCTCACGACAATGATGAAAATGTGGCTGCGGCCTAGGCGCGGCGGGGGGGGCGCGCACCAGGGGCCCCAACAATAATTATTCTTTAGAATTAATAATGTTCAACAACAACAACACCAACAGCAACAGCAACAGCAACAACAACAACAACACCACCACCACCACCAACAACAGCAGCAGCAGCAGCAACAACAACAACAACAGCATCAGCAACAACAACAACAACAAACAACAACAACAACAACAACAACAACAACGACACCAACAACAACACGAATCCGCACCGCGGAATCCCACTTCAGCCACGCACCCAGGGACAGTGAATGACCGTTCGGCCCCCTCACTCTGACATATATGTTTTTCTGTCTGTCTGTCTGTCTGTCTGTCTGTCTGTTTGTCTGTCTGTCTGTCTGTCTGTCTGTCTCTGTCTGTCTGTCTGCCTGTCTGTGTCTGCCCGTCTGCCTGTCTGTCTGTCTATCTGTCTGTCTGTCTGTCTGTCTTTGTCTGTCTGCCTGTCTGTGTCTGCCTGTCTGCCTGTCTGTCTGTCTATCTGTCTGTCTGTCCGTGTGTCTGTGTGTCTGTCTGTCTGTCTATCTGTCTGCCTCTTTCTCTCTCTCTCTCTCTCTCTCTCTCTCTTTCTCATTCCCCATAGATGTATCGATTATTCTACGCGACTCTCCGAAGGAGTAGAGCTCAGAGGCTCAGAGGCGATGAATCGAAGCCAGATGGTCCAGGCCGCGATGTTTCTCTGGTCGTCTCGCTTGAGGCAGATACAGAAAATCGTATGCCCCACCTGTCTGATCTCCCACGTCCTCCTCCTCCTCCGCCCTCCCTCCTAGTCTTTCTAATATCCCCCTCCCCTCCCGCATCCTCCTTTCCCTCCCTGTCTCTCTCCCTTCTCCCTGCTCACACTTCCCCCCTTCCTCTATCTCCATGATCCTCCTCGTCTCCTACTCCCCACCCCTCCCTCCCGACTGGAGGAGGAGGAGGAGGAGGAGGAGGAGGAGGAGGAGGAGGAGGAGGAGGAGGAGGAGGAGGAGGAGAGGAGGAGGAGGCGGAGGAGGAGGAGGAGGAGGGGGAGGGGGAGGAACAGGAGCAGGAGGAAGAGGAGAAAGAGCGAGGATTAGCAGCAGCAGGAGTCTGCACCTGGAGGCAGCGGAGGAGGATGACGGAGGAGGTGGAGAAGCAGGAGGAGGAGGCGGAGGAGGAGGAGGCGGAGGAGGAGGAGGCGGCGGCCTAAGGCACATCGAGAGCGTGTACATCCCGGGGCTGCAGGCCGTCAAAGCTTCCGGGGAGGACGCGTCGCTGGGTCTGTCTCCTCGGTCACGGGCTCCTCGTCACCTCCTGCTCACCATTTCTACCTCAATGGTTGTTCCTCCTTCGCGTGCTCCTCCGCTTCTCATCACTACCATTTCTTCCTCTTGGGATGACGCCCGCTCTGCGTCCTCCACCTCCACCTCGTCCTCCTCATCTTCTTCCTCCTCCTCCTCATCCTCCTCTTCCTCCTCCTCCTCGTCTTCCTCCTCCTCCTCCTCCTCCTCCTCGTCCTCCTCCTCCTCCTCCTCTCCCTCCTGTCACCCTCTTCTCTGTAGCCATTTTGGCTCATGCTGGCTCGAAAACCCCCTGGCGCGGCGGGAGGTGCGAGCATGGTGGCTGCGGGAGGCGCCCCTGTGGGGGGGGCCTGGGAGTCGGCGGCGGCGCGCAAGGCTCGGCGTGGCCGCGCTCGGGAGGCTGCTGACCGTGCCGTTCGCAACGCAGTGGGTGCAGCCAAGCAGCTGCAGGAGCTCGCTCTCGCCGAGTCCGCCCTTTCGAGCCTGGTGGGCGACGCTGCGCTCGCGGATCGCATTGCAGCGGTGATCTCAGCGCTGCAGCATCTGGCTGCAGGTCGAGTTCCGCCTTGGCTGGATCGTCTCAGGCGCAACGTGGCGCTCCATGCCCGTGCTCACGCGCTGGAGGGGCGGATCCACACGGCGTCGTCGTCGGAGCTCCGCACGGCCGCTAGGGGGCAGCGGCTGGGCGCGGAGAGAGGCGTGGATCTGTCGAACTTCTCGGTCGAGATCTGCGTCGCGGAGCACGTGGCGTCCAGGGCCGGAGGGAACGGGCTGCCGGCCCCACAGGTGTCGACGGCTTGGCGGCGGGAGGCCCCGCTCTTTCGCCTTGGCGCTGGGGCCCACTTCACTTTGCCAGAAGGAATGGGAGACCTCCACGTGCTGCTGGAGGCACCGTTCCTGTCATCGTCTGCACGTATTGGTTCCTGCGCGAGTCGTTCTTCTTCCTGCGGTTCGGCTTCGAGCAGTCCGTCGCGGACGCTGGACGGCGACCCTCCAGACCCCCTCGGTGCGCATCCGGACATCATCGAGGTGGAGTTCGGGGGGCAGCCGCCCGACCCGTTGGGGCAGGAGCCGCGGGACCTCAAGGCGGATCGGGATCAGAGGACTTCCGACGACGCGTTCGAGACCGTGGGCGACTACGCTAGCGATTCGGATTCTTGTGATGCATGCCCCAGTGCTGTTGTACATTCGGGAAGGGCCCTTGTGATGGCCAGGACCCAGGTGGTGGGAGGAGTGGTCCGCGCCAGTTGTGGAGCCCAGGTGGCGGGATGAGTGGCCATAACCTCATGCCCTGCTGGCTCAGCAGAAGGCGTGAAGCGCGCGCATTCCCCGACGTCGGGAAGGGCCCAGGCAGCGTGCGGACCTGCCGAGGCCAGGACCCAGGTGGTGGGAGGAGGGGTCCCCGCGGGTTGTTGGGCCCAGGTGGTGGGAGGAGCGGCCACAACCTCACGCCCTGTCGGTGCTTCTTGTGTCGTGAAACGCGTGCGTCCCCCGACGTCGGGAAGGGCCCAGGTGGAGGGAGGAGAGGCCGTGGCCCAGGTGGTGGGAGGAGTGGCCGAGCGCCCTGCCCGGGCGGTGAGTGGAGAGGCAGGTGTGCATACCCCGAATAGGATCTCTTATCGTACTGTTAGAGCGGTAACCTGGCCACGCCTTTACCTGGAGTGTCGGCTGCAGCCTGCCAGTGGCGGTTGGGGCCTCCTGCATTGGAGCTGCCTCGATGGCGCCGCTGATGCTGGGGCTGCCTTGCAGGACAGCTTGGCCCGCGCCGCTCGCCTCTTCTTGCGCGGCAAGCGCTGGGCGGCCATGGTGTTCGAGATCCCTGAGAGGGTGAAGGGGCTGCGTCCTCACCTACCCCCACCCCGCTCCCCGTGGTTCTACAACCGCCACGAGCCGCTCTGCAAGCGCGAGTCGTGCATGAAGAGGGTCACCGCGAAGTCCGATGCTGTTCATGAGTCAGCGGATTACGGACGTCAGCGGGCTTCTGGCATCTGTCGTGGTCCCCGTCTCCTCAAGCAGGGGGCCCCGCGGGCAGACGCGACGGAGCAGGGCCAGAGGGGCCGCCGCGGCTCACGGGCGTCGACGTGAGCTGGCGGAGCCGCCTCCTTTCCCCCCCCTCTTCCTCTTTCGCCTCCCCTTAGACTCCCTCGAGCCTCGGTGCGAAAGTGGCGACGGGCGGCCCGTGGAGTACTAAGTACTCCTGCCACCCTCTCCCCAGATTCATGCCCTCCCAGCCTCCCCCACCAATCCATCCATCCCCACGTCATCCCACCCTGGCCGGGACCTATCCCTGCTTCCGTCGCCATTTGTGTCAAGCTGCACGCAGGGGTGGCCATCCTCCGCCAGAGCGGCCTCTGGTGTGGGCCCCCAGGATCCCTCTAAAGCCGCGCGCCGTAAGTCACTCTTGCCTCGGGTCGCTCTTGCGTGTCGCGGATCCAGAGAAATCGTCATTCACCATGGGGTGACGTTGGAGAACGAAGATGGTCGCGTCTTGCACGGACCGCAGAGCGAAGCTAGTTGAGCTACAGTTGCGCCGACCATGGAAACATGCTCCCGTCCCCGTTTTAGGCGAGCGTTTCCAAGGCAGCTGGCAGGCAGCGGTCCTGGTGCGTGCAGATCTGTGCAAACGCCCCCGGGCTGTACACCCGCAAGGCCATGAATTTGCAAGACGGCCTGCCCGGGCTTCTCACGGCAACCCTTATCTCGAGCATGACATGCTCGAGACAAGGGTTGCCGTGTCTGCATGCACACACATCATGTGTTTTGCATCGCTCTCCAGCTCTCCTCTTCCTTCCTCCCCCTCCGCCCCGAGCACTTCCGGCTTGCCGACATTGGTCGGCCTAGCTTGTCCTCTGAATGCCACAGCTCGGTAGCTGCGCAGGACCATGGGCCCAAAGGCGCCGCCTTCCTGGAAACGCGGCCGCTCGCGGAACGCAGCCTCTACGCATACTCTTGGCCCCAGCGGACGGGGCTGCCGCCCGAGGCGCGCCACACATCATGGACCGCGCATCCTGAGGCCGACTCCAAGGGCGCGGCGGTCGGCTCTCCGACGCAAGCCGCGCGACCGTCTGGGCAAGCCAGGGCACCCTAAAACCGAGTGGGCGTCTCGGAATTCCGTAGGAGGCAGCCACACACCACCACGGAAGTCATCCTGGCCCCCGGGATGACGTACACACTTCCGCCTTCGTCAAGGCGGGCGCCCACGCCTTTCCAGGTTCCGGGAGAGCCCTCGCTGGCCAAGGTCCCTGACATCCGCCGGTCCAGTGTCTGTTCCATCCGCGGCCCTACGGAGGTCCCGACCGGAGTTCCATGGGGGGTGGTCTTCGATCCCGGGTCCATGTGGGCTGGCCCCGTGGTCCGAGAACGGGCCCTCGAGGGCCGAAGCCGAGGAAGAGCCGCGCCGGCTGACAGGGCCATGTCGGAGATGTGAGGTGGTAGAGCGTACAGTCGGGGCCCTGAAGAAGGAACCTTTTTGGTTGGGGAGGGGCTCCGCGTTCCTTCAGTGTTTCACAGCTTGCCTCAGGTGTTCCTTATGTCTTCGATCGGAAATCGAAGTTTAACTCATGGAAAAAAGGGGCCTCGTTCCTTATTTTGGGTTCCTTAGGTCAAGTCCCGACTGTAGAGCGTTTCTGTCTTCCGGTGTAAGCGCTGCCTTGCCCACAGGCGGCCCCCCTTCACAGCTCAGCTGCCTCGGTGCGCGCAGCGCGTGCCGTGCTCAAAACGACCGCGTCAGTACGTTGCGTGTTTGCGCAGAGTCTTGGCCCACGCTTTGGCGAACGTATCGCGTCGTATCTACGTGTCCAGCCTACGTGTTGAACTCCGTATCAATACGCTAACCGCGAGAAGTCCTTAGAACCACCCCCGAATAAAGGGTAACGAATCATTTTTCGGCGGCCTTATTGATGGACTAGGGTCCCACCAATAGGGCGTAACTAATTTTTTGTTTCCGCGGCACCCGCCGAGCAACAACGACGACGATGACGACGACGGCGGCGACGACGACGACGACGACGGCACCCGCCGCGCAACAAAGGAGGAGGGAGAGAGGGGGCGGGGGAGGAGGAAGAGGTTTTAGGACGAGCCCTACTCACCGCCGAGTGAACAGCGTGGGGGAATCAGAACTGCAGACCTCCTCCTCCTCCTCCTCCTCCTCCTCCTCCTCCTCCTCCTCCTCCTCCTCCCCCTCCCATCGGGGCAGCGAGCCCCCGCAGGAGATGGACCGACTGCGCGCCAGCCTGTCGCGGCTGCGGCTCTGGCTGGAGAGCTTCCGCGCCTCTGGCAGGGCGCCCGAGCCGGAAGGAGCGCGGGGCGCGGGCGGGGGGGGGCCTCCTCCTCCTCCTCCTCCTCTTCCTCCTCCTCGTCCTCGTCCTCCTCCTCCTCCTCCTCCTCCTCCTCCTCCTCCTCCTGGGCTTACGGCTCCTCGAGGGGGGAGGAGGGTTGGGGAACTCGGGGGCAAGGTTAGGAGGGGGGGGGGCTCCGGGGGGAGCGCATGAACCCCCGACGCGCTGGTCGACGAGAGCATAGGTCGATTCCTGGATCCCCAGGCCCCCCATCTGCTCCACTGGGCGCCTTCCTGCCTCAGGAGTCGAGCGATTCTCCATCTTCCCTGCTCTTCAGGGGGCGGGCGGAAACCCAATCCACAACAACGCCTCTCCGCTTCATATGTTTACCAACTTCTTCCGACCGCCGGGTGATCGCTCAGCCATCGCCCGTAAGGAGCCTGGTGACCCGCCCCCCGCCCAGGGCTGCGCGGTTTCGTCATCGCGGGCACGTCGCGGCTCCATCGGCGACCGATCGCCGATTCCAGCTCGAGGTTTCGCCCTCCCACTCCTCCTCTCCTCCTCCTCCTCCTCCTCCTCCTCCTCCTCCTCCTCCTCCTCCTGCTTCTCCTCCTCCTCCTCCTCCTCCTCCTCCTCCTTCTCCTCCCCCCCCCGAGTCGGACCCCCCTCCTCTTCGGTGGCTCAAGGATGGGGTTCCGAGGGATGGGGTCCTGAGGACGAGGTGCCACAAGCCAAACAAATCCACCCTTGGACCCCTTCCTGCGGCGGCAAGCGCGTGGGAGGGAAGGGAGAAGGAGAGAGTCTTCTCAGAAGGCTCGGAAGTCCCCCGGCCTCCTGAGAAAGTCCTCTCAGACGGCGCGGGGGCTTCTGAGCAGCCCCGCCGCCTCCTGAGAAGGCCCTCCCCTCGCTCCACCCTCCCGCTCGCCGCCGATCCCCGTCCTTAGGACCCCACCCCTCAGGGCCCCATCTTTGAGCCACCGATCTTCCCCCCGCGCGCACACAGACAGAAGCGGCACGGGCACGAGCCTCCGGAGGTCCGCGCGGAAAGGCCCCGTGGTGGCCGCTGGCGCCTCCCCCCGGCAGCGCTCGCCCTCCGCGCCGCCCCCTCGGCGCGGGGCGACTCGGCGCCGACGCGCTGGCCATCCGCGCGGACCTCCGACAGTGTGCTTGTGAGTGCGTTGAAGTTTACGTGTGTGTAAATGTGTGTGTGTGCGTATGTGTATGAGAGAGTGTGTGTGTGTGTGACTGTGTGAATGTGCGTGTGAGTGAGCGTGAGTGAGTGTGAGTGAGTGTGAGTGAGTGTGTGTGTGTGTGTTCACGCCGCCAAGTAGCTCGAGGAACAAAACACGGCATAAACATAAACGTTCGACGCTCCGCGCGGATTTCTTGGATTTGCGCTGGGCCCCCCCTGGCAGCGCCTCCGGCGCCGCCCCTGGCGCGATCCGCGCGGATCGTCGAAAGGTTATGTGCATGCCGTTGTTTCTTCTTGTGGTAGCACCAGTCTGCTTGCATTTCAGCTCACTTTGCGTTGAGTATCCTCCTCGCTTTCTCGCCGCTGCATCTTTCGTTTGGATTTACCGTTTCTAGCACACACACATGCTACAGTGTGCGACGCTTGCTACACTGCGCTCTCGACAACGCCCGATCGCAATTCGCACTTCCACCTGCTGCCCGCGCCTGAGAACCCTCTGCGCCGCTGACTCGAAATTGTGTGTTCATGTCGATGTCTGTTCTTCCACGCGCCCCTCGAGGAGGAAGCGGATGAGGAGGATGATGATGATGATGAGGAGGAGGAGGAGGAGGATATGTAATTTTCTTCTCCGTCTTTCTCATTCTGCGTTTGCTGTTATACTCATGTGCTGACTTACTTCTATTCAGCTGGCGATGACCGTCGCCAGGCTCACTAGTTTGATCAACCCCGAGCCCTGGGGGGGAGGGCGACGTCAGTGCGACGTTTCTGCCTTCGGGCATTCAGGCGCTCAGGAGGAGGAGGAGGAGGAGGAGGAGGAGGAGGAGGAGGAGGAGGAGGACAGGAGGAGGAGGAGGAGGAGGAGGAGGAGTGAGGAGGAGGAGGAGGAGGAGAGGAGGAGAAGAGGAGAGGAGGAGAGAGAAGGAGAGGAGGAGGAGGGAGGAGGAGGAGGAGGAGGAGGAGGAGAGTGCGGAGGAGGAGGAGAGGAGGAGGAGGAGGAGTGAGGAAGTGAGGAGGAGGAGGAGGAGGAGGAGGAGGAGGAGGGGAAGGAGGAGGAGGAGGAGGAGTGAGGAGGAGGAGGAGGAGGAGGAGGAGGAGGAGGAGGGCCGGGAGCCACGGCGAAGGGGCAGAGACAGGGAAGCGGAGGCGGGGCAGGTTCGAGCTAGCCAGCCGAGCATCAAGGGTCCCCAGGACACACAAATAAATACACAAATCAAATAATTCCACATATTTTCCCATATTTTCTGGGGGATCGACGATTAATTGTGTCTGTGTTTTTTTTCTCCTCCTGAGAGCATTTGTCCAGAGTCTCAAGGGCAACGGCCCAAGGATCGGCGTCGGACCGAGCTCGCTCGTCGGG